GGAAAAAGAAAAGCTATTTAATATTTCAAACATAACTAGCTTTGTTTCGTCTGAATATAATCATATTTAGAACATTATTTTATAAGCAAGAAGTAAAATAAGAAGAAAGAAAGACCCATTCATTTTGCCCATCAGTCAAGTGCTTAAAGAACATATGACTATTAGACAAGATGCGTGGAGGCATCATAATTGATGACTTTGAAAAAAAATTTACGGTCTGTTTGGATTCAAGCATTTGATTTCAAATTCTGGAATTGGATCAATGCTAGTATTTGGGTTTCTAAATAATTGAGAATTTAGAATTGATCCAATTTCAAATGGGTTTTAAACATGCACCGGGCCTTGTATTTCAAATGACAACCCGATGGCTGTCATTTGGAATTTTTCACGACTCTCTCGAGTCGCGATCTCCTCGCGATCGGCATTTAACTCGGATATGTCTCCCCTCTCAATCTCCTCTATCTTCCCTCAATCGATCATCTCTACTCGTTTGACAAAACCCTAACCCTAGATCCAATCTCTTTCTCCCTCATTCGATCATGAGCTCTCGTTTGCTCTCTCACCAGCTCCATCAAACCCTAGCTCGTAGATCATGCAGCTGTGCGTCGCTTTGAGAGGGATCTTCCCTCAGTAGTCTAATCTCTTGGAGATCAAAGCTCCCATTAATGGCGGGTCCATTTCCTCTGTCGACGAATCTCCCATTCGTGGCGGCGGCTTTGGCTTTCTCCATAGCCCAATTCCTCAAGCTCTTCACCACACAGTGCGTCTCCTCATTCTTTTGCTAATAGATCGTAGATCTTAAATCCACGAAAAGAGATAATTGATTATATATATGATATATTTTAGTGTAGAATGTTTAATTATGGTAAAGTTTGTATCTTTAAGCTAGAATGCTAGGATGATCTTGCGATTACACTGAAATGAAGATAATTGATCTTACGACCTTTTGTCAAGTCTGCAATCATTTTTCTTTGTTTTGATGTTATGCACAGTAAAATTGTTAGAGACAGATAACCAATTGTTTTAGAGATGTTACCTTCTCGGTGAATGACCATCATCTAACAAATTTAATATTTTTATTCTGGAAAGTCTAGTTTTGTTCTACTTGATGTGTAGATAATAATCAATTGTTTCCGAGATGTTACCTTCTAGGTGAATGACCATCATCAAACCAAAGAATGCAAATTTTTTTATTTTTTTAAATTTTTGTTCATTTAGACAGTGTAACTCTCTTAATAGCTTGGATTGTGTTTGAAAATGCTTCATCCTGCAATTTGCACGAGGAATTCAGACAACACATGTCTGCGTGGAAGTTCGAATGACTATGAATAGAAGTAATTACTAAATAAATGAACTATCCAAATTCTGGCTGGGTTTTATGTTTTGAAACCCTATACATACTTCTCATCGTAAAAAAAGAAGAAGAGAGAATCCAAAGCATATCCATTAATTCCTTGTGTTAAACCTTCAATATATGTTCATCCTAGACATGCAGGTATAAGGAAAAAAGGTGGAACTATAAGAGGTTGGTTGGATCAGGTGTAATGCCTTCATCACAATCAGCAACTGGGGCGGCTGTTGCAGTGGCTATTGGTCTTCAAGAAAGGACCGGGGGATCCTTATTTGCCCTTGCTACAATATTGGCATCTGTTGTAAGCACTTAATCAGCTAGCCCTTTCTTTGGTTCACTCTGATCGATGTTTTTAAGCCATGAACTTTCTCTAATCTTTTATGCAATCATTACAAAAGGCTTTAAGCATTTCTAGTCTGGTGATTTTGCTCAATTATGCATATACATGTCTGCTCAAATCAAGGTATATATATACTCCTTATACAATATTATCACATATAAGTGATTTGAGCTTACCACCATAAATAGCGTTAACTATTTCCTCTTTGTGTGTTGAATTGAGAGTCCGAGACAAGGGAAGAACCATATTTTGCATAGCCAAATTTGCAATTTGAGGGCATACGATTAACTACCAAGAATTCGCTATGTATCCCTTTCTAAAGTGTCCAACCCATGTTCGTTCAGGACTAATCCTACGAGTTTGTGCACCTGATATGGCATGCAGTTACATCTGGGATACTTACATGTAATATATACCTCAGGCACCAATAATTGGTACTGAATATTCTTAGTGGTATTCTACAGAAATATAGGAAAAGTCAGGAACCTGCAGCCGTTGATAAACTTAAAGAACCGATTTTAGACGAAGTCACTAGTGCGCTGGTCAAGCGGTATCATCTGAATTTCACTAGGCAGGTTATTTTACTGTAGCCAAGTTAGCTTGTCTATTCCTTTTTCTCGACATTTTCCACATTTTCCATTTGGTCTTGTGGTGCCAGTTATCAGGTAATCAGATATTTACCTATATGTGAAGACAAATGGTTTTTTTGTTTTATTTAGTTATTATGTATCCACATAAGCAATCCTAGTTTGGGTCGACCAGTAATTTCCATAAATATGAAATACTGAACCAGCCTATGTTTGTTGCTCGATCTGAAGTTGCATTTTGTGGCTAGAGAAGGTAAAGCAATTTGTTGCTTGATCTGAAGTTGCATTTTTGCCTACAAACATATGACGGATACCAATGAGTGTTTGACACTGCAGAAATATGCAACCATTCATTTAGTCTCTTGCAATTATTTTAACATGTTGAAATTTTCTAGTTTTGACGGAGGTGCTGTGAACTAATACTGAAGGATATACCCTTTGCTTGTATTTATCCAGAACTAACTAGCAGTATTGTTGTGGTCCAGAATTTGGAAAGGTTCAACATGATAAGCCATTGGATCACCAATAGCACCATTTGCTGGAAATAGTACGTTGGTTTCATTCCATTGTCCGGGCAATGATTCAAACGGCATCATCACACCTGAAGGTTACAGGAGCAAGTATTTTGTGCAACTTCTGCAAAATGAAGTTCCAATTCCCGTGTCGGTAAGGATAATCAATTATCATAATTGATGTTTTCTCATTTACATGTTCTAATCGCAATAAGGTGTGCAGTTTTCAATATTATGCTCCCTCTGTTGTCTACTTATATTTTCCATCTGGTCGTAATACATCCATTGGATTCATATTCCCCTTCTTTATGTTGGGTACTTGTATTAAAATATCACAATAAGGTGTGCAGCTTTATCATCAAGTGTTGTATGCACACAAGCACAAAGACATATTTAAAATATTTCTATTGAAAACGGATCATATATGATTTACTCCCCACAAACAAAATCCTTAGCTTGGCAAATGAAGATGAATTTCAATAATGCTATTGCATAAACACAAGTACTTCTATGGCAGATCCTATCAAAACTGATAAGTTCTATTATTCCAAAGAAAACTGTACAGTGTTGTATTACTTGAACGTATCCCTTTATAGTATCACACTTTAAAATGGAACTAATTTGGTCTTCTTATTGTTTCAGGTGATTTAAGATCTCGCAAGCAGGACCTCTTGAGCCGGGGAGAGAAAGCTACAATGAGGAATACAAAGCAAAAGTGTACAAGCACTAGAAAAAAACTCTTATTTGAATCGGATGTAAATGTTTTATAGAAACTAGTGCGAGAGCAACTTAAGCATGGCATTATATAATGGGGAAGTATTAACTAAAATTGTAGTTCGAACATATTTTGGATCTTTTTTTTTTTGAATTGTTATATGCAATATTTGAAGTTTTTACTTTATTTGTTGTTATAGTTAGTGGTGTAGGAGTTTACAAAGTTTTATTGATGAATGATTTTAGTCATTTTATGATGATCATTAGGTGAACTATTGACATTCATACATTTGAGGTTTTAAGGTATTTTATCTATATGTCAAGTTAGTTGAATATTTGATGTAGTATTTGAAGAATTTATTTCCACCAATTTTGATGCATAACTTATGTAAATTGATTATCTAATTTTTAAATTATCTTTGAGCTACAATGTTAGTTTAAAAATTAGAATTTGACAAACAACTCAATTGGAATTTTCAAAATTAAAATTTTAAAGATTGTCAAATATGAATTTCAAATTAAATTCTGGAATTCAAATTTAACCAAACAAAGGAATTGAATTTGAAATTCTGGATTTTAAATTCCAGAATTCAATTTTGGAATTTGAAATCAAATTCTTGAATCCAAACGCAACCTTATATAATTGTTCATTCCATATGAATAATTAGATTCAATTCATCTGGACAGCAAGAGACAGAACTGATGATCTAGCTCATAAACTAAAATGTTTTTTCATTGCATTATTGAAGATCGCTTATTTAAAAGGCATGAGGAGAAGGTTTTGAGAACGTATAATGTCATTTTAGGGTAAATAAACCCTGTGAACTTTCAGTGTTTTGTTGTTTTGTGGTAAATCCCCATGAACTTTCAAAATCACACTAAACCCAAATAACTTTTGCTAAAAAAACCCAGTTTCTTTTGGATAAACTACATAAACCCCCAATAATTTTCAAAATGCCTTTTTTATGTTGTTTTATAGTTCTAACTTATGGGGGTTATGGGGTTATCTGCAAAATGTAAAAACCTATTGGAGGTTTTCTGCAAAACAGAAAAGTTAATAGGGATTTAGTGTGATTTTAAAAGTTCATGCGGCTTAGTGCAAAACACTGAGAGTTCATGGGGTTTTAGCGTAACTAACCCTTTATTTTATTATTTTATATGTCTATATAACTTCAAGAGATTGAGTAAAATAACGCGTTATGCACTTCCATGTCTTAGGAACATAAAGCCTAGATAATGCACCAAGATGTAGATGCTTTCTAGAAAGATAATCAAAGAATCCGCCACTGCATAAATCTCATTTTACAACACAACTTCCCCTCCGCCTCCCACGATATCAATGCTCCGATGTCAACTTGATACTCAGTAGATGATGTAAACGTATCAGTATCCTGCATCACATCCTTATAGAATCTTTATGACATAATTCCCACAAGATCACAATCAAATTTAGCGGCGTGAAGTTACTATCGTTACCATGAAGCCTGAGCAGCAAGAACGTCGGGCAACAACATCAACTTTGACGACATTTTCTAATACAGAAGGCCGATGCATAGTTCCAACATGCACATATACATCCTTTACTACAAAAAGAACGAGGGCAAAGAAATTCTTCGATCTCGATGGAATGTCTGTGGACAGCTTTTTAAATAAATCTGGAGCAGCAAAACAACCTGCTCAAGAAACAATATACGTTAACTGATATGAGCTTTTTTTTCTCTTTTATTAGACAACAGACGTGGCCAAACTGATGAGACTCCAAAACTCAACCTCAACTCTTGTATTAAACAAAAAAATCGTTACGCATAAAGAAAATAAAGATAGTAACTTAAAGAAACAAAAAAGTTGCTAGAAGTAAATAAACAAGATCTTATTTATTTCGTACAGAAAGTCCACTAAAAGTAATACAAGTAGATGATACCTGACATGAGAAACTTTAATATCTCCAAAGCTCAAATTCTCACAAGCACAGACGGTCCTAACCCAACACTAATAAACGGAGAATTTTAGGAGGGGGTAAAAAGCTGCAATTAGTCTATTTAGTTTTAGCCCCAAAAAAGGACAGATAATGCAAGAATATGAAATGGAATTCATGAACTAGAAAATGAACCATGCAGAGAGTTTGTTTAACATTGCTGAAAATTGAAGTCCGGGCTGAGAAAACATACGCTGGTGATATTGGCAGAGAGAAAGCAAATGCAGTTAGCAAACCAAAGAGATCTAGGATCAAAGAATTCATAAAGCAGCCAACTACCTGAGAACATGAAATACATCCAATATGCTAAGCATAAAAATGCTGGAACCGAGATGAAGTTATAAAAGATCATTCACCACAGTAAATTAATTTGTAGAGGGGGCTAAGTTGATGTGAATTAATAGTTATAGTCCTTGCACATGTAAACCAATCTTAAAATTTCCTGCCAATACTCACTGTCCTCAAATTACTGGCTCATTTTAGATGGTCAAATAGACTTCTCAACAATGACAAATACAGGACATGTAGACATAAGTTTGTTTTATTAAAAGGCAGATACAAAAGATCGTTTGCAGAAAAACAATTATGCCTATAGACTCCAGGATAGAGAAATTCACTTTGAAGATCATAGGGTGGAAGCAGAGACCAGAAGGAAACATATCTGAAAATTAATAGTCATTGTTCTTCTAATCCTGTCACCTGGGACATCTGGAACTCTAAAACAAGCTACCATGTCCCAGGAAAGCAATTTCTTAAGCAAAAATAAGAACAGTGCTCAAGGAACGAAAGCAAGGAAATTTTACATCAATTTCCCTTTAAAAACACTTCAAGAAATCAAGATAGAAAGTCAGATGATACAACTAATTGAAAAGGAAGTAGTCTAAAGAAAAGACCCTAAACACTCAAAGACCAGTAAACCAATGTTTTTAAATGAGATTTACTAGTTTAAGGTCTGGCCAAGAGCTTCAAATGAAAACATCCTCGACATCGAATTTGCTTTAATAGTATTTTGTGAATTGTCGGACTAATAACCAGAGTAGGCACCAAAGACTAACCTCATAAGTGACAATACTCCACATTGATATGCTAGGTAGCCACCCACATGGATTTGAAGTTCTCCAAATTGTGCTTGTCGTTAAGACATACTTATAGGTTCTGCAAACTACATCTTACAATCTTAGCTATAGTTTAAAAAGTTCGGTCAACTCAAAAAAATATCACCTGAGACTTGTTTGTATATACATCATAATCTGGTAAACTAAAGTTACCTAACCTCAAAAGCTAGGGTGCACCATAATTTCCCAAATCCAATCAGACTAGAGTTTTCATAGGTCCAAAAGATACAAGAGAAACAAGAACCACTTGCCTCAACTTTGGAGTTTGTGACTCACCTTTCCCTTCGTACTGAAACCTCACATCTCTCGTCATCTGTATCAAGGTAACTGTCCAACAGATCATGAAGTTAGTTAAACTAAAGGCTAGAGAACTACAGTTACTGATGCAGAACATCTTCCAGGATCACAATTGTTATGGTTGAGACTACGAAACTTAGGATTAGAATAATGCAGTTGGAGTTCTACTTGATATTTTGGTTAGATATTTAGTTAGTTGATTTTTATGTTTCATTAGTTGTGATTTGTTGTCAGGATTGAGATTTATTCTATTGCTAGTTTTATTTATAAATAATATGCATTCTCTCTTTCTATGTTAGACAATGATTAATGAAAGCTATGAATTTTGAAAAATCTCGGGTGCATGAGAAGTGCTACGCATATGAGTTGCAAAAGCTATGAGTTTTGAGAAATCTCGAGTGCATGAGAAGTGCTAGGCATGTGAGTTGCCTTGGGTGTGAAGGCCTCCTCTATCTATAATTCTATTATCCTTGTCCTTCTGTTTATCCCAAATCATACACGGTTCATTTCCTCTCAGTTTCCTGCAGTCACCAAACCTCCTCCAATTTCCATGGGTCAGTGGTGCCATCAGCAAACAAGCAGCTTCCCCCTCCCTGTTTTCTTTTTCCCTTCAGCAGCAACACTGCCATGCACCCACACAAGTCACCTTAGCCTAATCAAAATCATCAACCTAGTCTCCTCTATCAATAAGCTGCGGCAACCATATTCTTCCGCTCCGACCCTGAACAATCAATGCCGAGTCTTTTCGGATCAGTGTCCTCTCAGTCCGATCCTCATCAATTACCAATACACAAAACACAGTTTACAAACCTATAAATGCAAGCTACAAATAAATATACTGACTCAGCCCTATAGGTGGCTCTAGCCTATATGAACCAGTTCGATCAACCCTAGTTAGTTGGCTGGCCATTTATCTATGTTCTTTATCACGCTGCATTTTGCAATTTTGATATGGTTGCAGCCCCAACAAGACTGCATCGCTTACAAAGTAGACTTCAAAACCGTACACGTCCTGAGCAGTTTGGATCTCCTAAGGGGATTTGAATAAGAAGGAAATGCTAGGTTCCCTGAAGAGGAAGTGCGAGTTGATAAGGGAAGGCAAGAAGACCTCTACTTCTTGCGTCCTTCTAATAGTTACTAAACTCCAGTCTCAATCGCTTTTGTAAACTACAAACCAAACTTTTTAAGTTTAATGCTTTCAGTTTTAAATAGCAAATAGTTACCAAATGAGCATCGGTTTGCTATTTTGGAATCAAGTGACATTTTGCTAGGATATACAGTTAAATGGAATATTATAGTAATATTTCACCCCTTCAGTAGATATAGTAATATTACATCAACCAGTCATATGGAATCATAAACAACAGGCTCATATCCTTCTGTTTTGGCCTAGGAATATTATAGTAATATTTCACCCCTTCAGTAGATATATATACCCATATCGAAAATTTCCCGTCAGTAAATACCCAGAAAGAACTACAAAATAATGCATAACGACAGCAAGAAATGACAATTGAGCATATTTTGGTCTATGAATATTGCAAATATGCACACATAATGACAACAAGAAATGCGCAATGACTTGGATTTCAAGTGTTAAAGAATCTGAGAGAGAAAAAATATGGTGTTACAAATGCAGTAAGGAATTACAATTATTATGTTGTATTCCTCCCTCTCATTTGTTAAAGAGGAGAGCAAGTCCCACTTCAATTCACTTACATCTGCTACACAAGCCCGAAGGCTGAGGAATAACACCAAATTCCAGCTGAAGAGAGATACTTGTAACTTAGATTACTGAAT